AAAAAGTTGATCACATGTAACTAGTAAAAAAATTAACTTGTTAATTACACATTATAGGGAAATATAAACTTGACTTGATGTAAGTGTCGGGTTATAAGTGCCTCTGAGTGTATGCATTAGGTAAAAATAAGTTTAATTATGATCATACACATTATAGGGGTTGAAATAACTTAAATTATATATTACAGAGGTTGAAATGACTTAAATGCCAAAAATAATGTAGAAATAACATAAATACACCCTATAATAGTGGCCAAAATAACATATCCATTATAGGAATGGAAATAACTTAAAAATTTTAATGACCATTACAGAATGATGTAGAAAATCATGACTTAAATGCCAATAATAAGGTAGAAATAACTGAACTACTTCTTGTTATAGGGTTATAATGACTAAAATATCATTATAGAGATAAGTTATTATATAAATATTATATTTATTATAATTCGGACTATTAAAAGGGGTAGAATTTATGATAACTTAAATGACTACCATAGAGGTAGAAATAACTTAAATACTCCCTATTATATAGGCAGAAATAACTTAAATAACCATTACTGAAATAGAGATATCTTAAGTATCCATATTATAGAGGTAGAAATATTACTTAAATGGCCATTATAGAGGTAGAAATGACTTAATAACATACCAATCATTGAGGTAGAAAAAACTTAAAATACCCATTAACAGGCCCGTCGTCACGATTTTGTGATTGGTGCGGCCAATTTGGTAGATTTTAGGCAGAATCTAGGGGGGTACGGGGGCATGCTCCCCCGGAAAAAATTTTATTCTAGGATGCTCTCAGGGGCGTTTTCCCGTATATTTGGCACAGTTTATAGCCTGTCGCTAGAACATGTTATATTAAAATGTCAACGATTTTTTAACAGGTTTAAGTGCGACGCAAGTTTAAGGTTTGCGTAACGGACGGGCAGGTGTACGAAAAAAAATGAATACATGTATTTGATATTCGGCAAATGAAAAATAAACAATAACTGATGTTGTTATAATTCTTTAGATGCATTTTTATCTGATAATTATTGTAAAACAAATACAAGAAATATTACAGTACGTGGGTTATTGTTTAACACAAATCACACAATGGTATAAGCTTAAATAACAATCGATGCCATGATGGAAGAATAGTACATTACGAGTCAACAATACCCGCTGTTTGTTTAGCAGTAACTTGTATTTTGTTCACAATAATCTTACAAAACACAGAGTCTCATTTTATGTCAATTTTCCAAAAACACATCGCCGTCGTTCTCTGGTAGTAATGAACTCCTCAGCAATTACACGTAAGTTGAGTGAATCTGTCCTGTACTTTATGAATATGTAACACCATTAGATTGTTCAAGCATACTTGAGACATTGTCGATCTCAGGTATGTCTTTATTCTTCTGAGCTCCGAGAATGTCCTTTCACTGGTAGCATTAGTAGCAGGCATTACTAACAAAATCTTTAACAACACAACGACCTCAGAGAACAGTGCTCGTTCTAGCACTGACTGTTTTGACACAAATTTCAAAGCGTCAGGTAGAGTAACAGTACTATTTTCTGATTTGCGTAGCAATTAAAGCTGCACCTCAAAGATGTCTCGGTAAATATCGTTGTCATAGAAATCACAAACAAAACCAAGTTTTCTGGTGAACACGGTCTTTAAAGGTTGTGCGGCCTTAATAAGTAAATCCTCCACGTTCTGAAGAAGCGATATCTGTGTTGGTCAAATCTTTCTTTAACACTGGCCATGGCAAGATCGATTGCTTCAAAATACTTAGGCCGGAACACGTCCTGAACTGTAATAATGTAATATAGTAAATTGAATGAGTTTATTACTGAAATTATTTCAGGAGTTGAATGAAAATATATTATGCGAGCCTCTGGCGAGTATAATATTTTATTCAACGAGGTCAATAAATTCAGTAATGAACTTACACGAATTTAATATTCTGTTTATTACATACCAAAAATAAGTACCTTTTGAAGTAAAAAAGAACCATTTTTCATTGACGCCCAAAGAAAAACGCTAACATTTAGTGAGTATAACGCAAATGACGTCAAAATATATGCACGGCCGTGCAATACCATTTTCACGTAGTCGCAAAAACGGCACGGATATGTGATAAAAATATGACTTTTGAACGGTTGCCGTGTACAATCAATAAAATGTTATCAAGTTCTCGGAGAATTCAGGCATACTAGTATAAGATATGCATAATGCACATATATATACATGTATATACGGTGAACTGTCCGAAGCCACGTCGTTGTCAATTAACTTCACACTTAACTTTGTAGGACCCCTATACCTGGTCCAGTTGTTTCTTCGCGTCATGTTTGTATGTTACCGGGACCAGTTAAGTGTCAAATTGCTAATCAGCGATGCGTGTTTTTTTTTTTTTACACATTTTTGGCCAAAATATTGGTCCGGCCAAGACCGGACCGGCCGGACCATCGACGACGGCCTTGATTAAAGAAGTAGAAATAACTAAAATATTCATTATTGAAGTAGAAATAACTAAAATACCCATTTATTGACCTAGGAATAACTTTAAATACATATACCAAATAATTGGGTTAGAAATAACTTAAATTATCATTACACTGGGGCCAAAATCACTCATTATAGAATCTGAAGAAATGGAGACAAACCTAAATACACTTGTTTTTATTACAAACAAACAGTACTGTATTTTCATGTCAAAATATTTACACAAAACCAAGTACATCTGCAAATTTAGCTTATTGTTTTCAATATAAACAAACACAAAATTGGATTTGTCTGTTATGATAATAGACACAACAATCTAAAACAAAAAATGAGCCGCGTCACGACAAAACCAACATAGTGCGTTTGCAACCAGCATTGATCCAGACCAGCCTGCGCATTCAAGTAAAGAAACTGATAGCGAACAGCATGGATCCTGATCAGACTGCACGGATGCGCAGGCTGGTCTGGATCCATGCTGGTTGCAAACCCATTATGTTGGTTTTGTCATGGCGCGGCTCAAATATATGTGAATGAAATTATTTCATGAAATGCCTTTTATCAATTTTAACAGTAGCAGGATCAAGGAAACCAAGTCTTTGCCAGACTTGAGATAGCGCCAGGCCATTTATTGCCTGCACCTCCAGTTGCCATTATTCAAGGCTCTATAATGTTAGTTGCTTATTTTTTTTATTTATAAGCATTTTTAAGATAAGATTTTTTAAGATTTATAAGATATTTTCCTTATTTTACAGTTAAAAATAAGGCAGGCATCAGAGGTTAAAATCTGTCTTGGTGGTTCTACTCAGGTACCAGTATGTGCCTGAAATAATGAGGTCTTCATCCACCATTAAAGCTGGCAAATCACCATATGACCTATACTGTGAGTGTATTGGTACTATATAAACAGCCCCTCCACCAAAAAAAAGAGATAAATAAATGAATAAAAATAAATAAATAATTGAAATAAAATACACTGTGCATGACTAATGGTGGCATAAGATCCTATCCATGCATAGCAGACAAAAAATCAACCAGCAAATGCAAAATCATGGTCTGCACTTTCAATCTCTATTCAAGCAGTACATATTTTCAAATTTTTCCCTAAATATTAAGAATGGTTTTGTCCAGAATGGAAGACAGACTGGTCCATTTAAATGTGGGAGGGTAAACTGATTTATTCCAATAAAATCCAACACCCAGCTTGTAACCTTACAAGAAAGTCCAAATTACAGCCACTCAATATAAGTTGTGGGGTGAATCTTTGATTTTTGAAACAAGTTTTTTGTCACCAATGAAAATCATTTCATTTAAGAGAACAAAACATTATAGAATTAAATTACTGAACTTCAGTCACATGTGAGTTGAATATGGATATAATAATTTATACAACATATATAATTAAACTTAAATGACACACTTTAATTATATAATTAATACAATAGCACTGTCAATACACAGACCTGGGCAGGAAAAATATAATTTGTAATACATTTGTAATCAATAATCATGTACATGTTGTGAGTCATTGGCACACCTTTCACAATTGGGTTAATCTTATTTTGTTATGGATTTCACAATTTATATTTCTTCTTCAATATTTACAAACAAAATTTCAATCCAGGATTGAGCAGAATCTGAAAGCTTTAAGCTTATAATTATGAAACACATTCCTTTTGTTTTGTTGGGTTTGAAAAGCAACATGATTTTATAAAGGTCAATTAAAAAGGAAGACCTTTTGCTGTAGCTCCCTTTTGTGTAATGTGAGGCTTATTTTTGAACCACCAATTAACCTTCCTTTCGTAGTGGAATACCTTCCTCAAATGATAGATCCCAAAAGTTTAAATCCCTAACAAAATTCAAACCCAAAGCAGTATTAGAGTTGCATAAAATATTTGAGCCGTGTCATGACAAAACCAACATAATGGGTTTGCGACCAGCATGGATCCAGACCAGCCTGCACATCCGCGCAGTCTGATCAGGATCCATGCTGTTCGCTATCAGTTTCTCTACTTGTTATAGAGTTTGTAAGCGAACAGCATGGATCCTGATCAGACTGCGCGGATGCGCAGGCTGGTCTGGATCCATGCTGGTCGCAAATGCACTATGTTGGTTTTGTCGTGACACGGCTCAAATATTTAATTGCCACTGATGGCATTTTTAAGTTCATCAAGCTTATTTTTGGACAGGAAAATTTACCTATAAACTTCTGCACTCTCCGGATCCAATTCTTTTCTTATATTTGGGAATTACAAGGTTTCAATAACTGGGGAAATGAACAGTTTTAATCCGTATATTCTTTTCCCTTTATTGTCAGGTCACTGCAGAAGTAATTATTTTAAGTGCTAAAACTACCCTAGCTGTCCTATAAGAAGGCCAAGGTCTTTTGGAGGATTTGGAAATCTAAATGTCAGAGTCCCTGCTGTTCCTAGGGGGTGGGGCGGGTGTTACAACTGACTCATGAATGTCATAATGGGAAACAAACTCAACAGTACAGTTATATACTTACAAATAACCATCAAATTCATTTGATGTTCTGTATGAAATAGTAGCACCATCTTTCTGTAAGAGACAAAAATGAAATTTATGATACAATATGACTCATTATATATAGTATCATTGGCATTAAATAAAAATATCAAAGAGAAACTGATTTCAGATTATACATGTACATGTATACCCACGGATTTATATTACAATGTATATGTCAATTAAAGTCCGTGGTATACCCTATCACTAAGACCCCATTTCCCATTCAAAAATAGCCTCTTTTTCCCCCAATTTCAAAAAAAATCTTAACAGTCCAAAAACTAAACTGTTTCAACTTCATACAAAAATTAAACTGTTTAAGACAAAATTATTCACAAAAGACATGTTAGGTGATATTAAAACTGCCATAACCTATAGTTAAAAAGTCATATCAGGTATATATTTTCAAAAAATAGCTGTCTAAAACTGTAAAAAAAAAAAAAAATGAAAAAAAAAAAAAAAAATGAATTCATCACAAAATTTATACTTTCCCCAGTCAAGAAATGGAGCTTTAAAATGGTTGTAGATCTACTACATTAATCATTCTTGACTGATAAAATGATTAAATTACATATCTACTATCAAATTATCAAGTCACTGAAAATGTTAGAAATTGAGGTCGTCCAATGTACTGTAAAATGTTACTTTAATATAACATATTTATACAATGTTACCCAATTTAATAATTTTATACTATTCATATAACATTTCATTAAAATAAAGTAAAGAATGGCAATAATGTATAACCACTTTTCATTTAATGCAGTGCAATCACCAGAATTGCACGTGGTTGAACGTGAAACCCGTGCCAAAAATAGCATGAGTCAAGTAACATAATCTTCTTCCAAGATTATCTAATTTAGATTCATATTTATATTACATAATACGGTACCGTTTTCTTAGCGACTGTCCAACCATCCTCTGTTTTGTAATAATCCTGAAGTTTTCTAGCTACTTCCTCACACTTTTCTCTAAAATTATTCATTTTTCCTTGTCTACATAAAGCCTCGACATGAACTGATGAAAATGAAAGCAAATGTAAACAAACATGTGTTTAATTGACATTTGTCACGTGATAAAACCTGACTTACCATATAGGTCAAAATTAGCCAATCAACGAGCACGTCAAAGAACCGCGACAACTTCAGTAATATCCGGTTTAATTTTTATTACATGCCTGGCAGAGTTGTCTCCCATTAGCAAATTTTTCTATTTTTTTCAGAAAGTCACGATTTTGCTGACTCGATTAATTAAAAAAGTATTTAAGAATTTGATTTCTGACGAAATAGGGATGGAAATAGCCTGGAATTGAACATTTTGGTGGCAACGTAAGTACATAAAACTGCTAAATTATTATTGCCATTGTACTTTAATATGAAAATGGCTAGGCCTACATTATGATTGCCATTGAATATTAAAGTACCGGGGTATAACGGCCAGTTTATGAGGGATAGATTATGATTGCCATTAAATATAAGAGCGTAAATTAGTGCTTATTAAGGCGACAAAAAGCAAGAACAATTTGCACAACCATGCAATCAAACTCCGTATATTCGTCTGCTTATTTCGACTACTTCTTAAGTTGAAACCCCTAAAATATGCAAAACACCGTTCCAAATTAATTAGGAGGACGGTTCCATTATACTATTTTAGGTTGATAAGGGTGTAATATAATTAATCAGACACTCATAAAGTCACGGATGATTGTATTCTATATAAACTGATGACTGATAAATGTAATTCTATATCGTACTTAATAAAGATCCTATTCAGTTTAATATAATGTAAATCTGGCATTGTTTTGTTTTAAATATTTTTCAATTTTTGTCAGATTAACTTTATCGGGTACATCTAAATAATTAAAACATGTACTCAACAGAATGTCAAGCACAATATATACACCTGCACGAACCGAGTTTGCACGTAAGGAAGATTCATATAAGGACATTTAAGGGAAATGTCGAACGCTGAAATAGTATTACTTTAATAATTCTCTTTTTAAAAAGTCGGTACGATTTTATTTATCTTCTCAGTCTCAAATAAAAGTTTTTGTTGAGTTGGATATATTTTGTCGTTGAGTTAATTTGATGCTGAAGAAATAAGAAGAATAACATGGAAGAAATACACCGTGAACTCTTAAAGAAGAGAAGGTCCTACTTGCTAGAAAACGTTATCATGGAAGACGGACTACTTTTAAAGCTGAGGGAAGCGGGACTTTTTACTAATACGATGGTCGCAATAATACAAGTGAGTATAGTTTTTCTTGCCATTATTAATGTCTTATGGCGTTCCACAAATTTCATTTGAAAAGGAAGACCTAGGATTGCACATAGGGAATAAAATATAAATCTCAAACGGGCTCTTATGTGACCTTATATCTTTGCATACTTGTACGTAATTAAAAACACTAAGCGACTGCTGTTTGGAATTACTAGTAGTGATATTCTCGTATAAGATTATTGCATTAAGTGTCAAGATGATCACTAAAAAAGAATACCTTCATACTTTATTGTTTTACTGATTTCAATTTCACGAAAATAGTAGCACCCCGGAAATCGCACACCTATGCGGCAAACTACCGCTGTTGCTAAAGATGTGCACAAGGCATATGTTCAAGCAAAACCTATTGAACTGACTTTAAGTAAGTCATGTTATATTGTCGGTGCAAGTCTATTTTATTTTCAGACCGAGGACGACCCAGAGAAGCAACTAAACCGGATGTTAGAAATGATACCAAAACGAGGTCCGGATGCATTCGAGATATTCCTTGATTGCTTAAAGGAGGATTACCCATGGGTCGTCAATAATTTCAAAGAAAAGGAGGTTGAACTGATAAATTTCAACGCAAGGGGTAATTTATTGTTTTAAATATAAATTTGTAGTTTGATTTTGCTATGCTTAAAAGAACTCCACCGATGTTGTTCGATTTTCTGAGACTTTTATGAAATACCATTTGATGTAGGTCTATACCAATCAATAACTTGTGAGTTTTTTTTATATTAATAAATCTTGTTGTTGTTAGAGCCCTACTGCGGTAAAGATTTCTTTCTTTGGGCACAATGGGCCTTTAACAAGATACGTCTGTTACTCGTATATATGTATGTTAATTTAAGTTCATGTATAAAATGCGGTGCAAGCACATTCAAGTAGCAACCGTCGCCAATAGGCCACATAGATTCTTGAAGTCAAACACAAATACTATAGAAGTGTATTAAATAAACACGTTTTTTTAAATCTGTTTTTCTAGCAAATTCTGATGTTAATCCAGAGATAAGACGAACGGTTAAAGAATACATCAGGGAACTAGCACGAACTACGAGACTTAATCAAGCTCAACAAAGGGCAATGGAAGACTTTCTGTGTAGACATATCACTATAGATACAAACTTAACTAACACCAAACTACCGGGATACAGACTTTATAAAATACATAAACAACTTTTATCTGTCATCCCAGTCACTTCATTTGTCGAGAGCGATCAAATGGACCTGAAAGGTACAATTCCTGAAAACGTCAGTATTGATAAGATTGAAACAGAAGTGCAATATATAATTGATAGAGTGCATGAACTTGAAGCGATTATTGAAAGCTGTTATGAAAAGATGGGTGAAGATAGTCGTAACATTGACCTTCCGGACTTGATTCATACCCAGAGACGATTGCTGCTTCAGAAGGAGATAGAGATACAGGAGCTGAAGAATCAGATCTCCTCACAGATCAGGAAGATGCGGGTAACGGTAGATAAGGCAAAGAAAGCACAAGAAGCAAATTTAAAGAACACAGAGGAAAAGGAGGAGTTAGAGAAATCTCTAGACACGCTTAAAGTAAAGATACAGAAATTGCAAGAAGAGAGACAAAAGATGGCAATGAAGATGGCGTTTGATGGAAATGCATCGATTGGACCAGCTACAAGCACGGCGCCTTCGTCTCCAAGGTCAAAGTCATCCAGGTAAGTTAAACAGTGACAAGTTCTTTACAGAATGAAAGACAATATTCATGTACGGAGGATAGTACTTAAACTCAGACTGTTTATTTTTCTTAGAAATGATAAATTAAGTAAATCTTGCCTGATACACGTCATTGCAAAGAGTCTGAAAATCCCAAATTTCAAAAGCTAATGATAAAAGTGTACCATCTAAAGAGCCTTTAAACATCGAAGCTCCAAATTCATGCTTATTATTACAAAAAAATAAATGCTCACAATACTAAAACTACTATCAGTTCAGTAAAAAAAGATAATTTAGCGAAGGTTTAGGCTTTTGCCACCCCGAAGTTGTAACTGAACAAAATACTATATTATGCAAAAATAGACCCCACTAAATAACGGTTCAGCAGCATTGGATTTATAAGCAGGACATTTATAAATACGTGATGATTATTTCCATATTGCTTCGTTTTCATATAGTTTTCCAAAATTTTATTTTCTGAGAAATTTTACAATGTATTTTATTATTGTTAAGGCGTGAATGTTGTTTAAAAGACATATTGCGTATTATTAAGTCTTGCAAAAATCAAGTCAGTAAGTAACTATGGTAACGGATCCACAAATGTTTACTGTCATTCCCGTAAAGATGTATTTAAGTGGAAAGACGAAAATGTATATGTTTGTGAAACATGTTGGATATTACGTACATGTATAATATCAAAGGTGTAGTCGCGTAACCAGATCAAGTACTTGCTAGTGCAATCCGTTGCACTCATATTCAAAATCCCCCATATGTACATGCCTTATCAAAGATGTGCGTCGTGTAGTCAGTAGTGCAATCCTGCCCTAGTCTAGTATAACCATTTAAAGCCCAAAAAACAAAAACAAACAAACAAACAAAAATATGTAGAAATGTAGAAAATAATTTAAAACATTCATATTCTTTCCCATATCCCTAAATAGGGCGGTCCTGGGTAGATCGTTATTGTTTTCTAAACCTTCTCATTGCCGTACATCTGTGCAAGGTAAATAGAAATGCGCAGCAAATCAATTCAACATCTTTACAAAGTGCGTGGAGGCATCAAGTCCTGGCAATTGTTTTCAATTTACAAGCCTTCTTATTTCTACTTTCAGATCAACGGACACTATACCAAAAGGTTTAACAAAACTTTTAGCAAGGTAATACCTTTTTAACATTTTGCTTTAGTTTCGCTTAACATGTAGATGCTGTGAATTTACAACTATCCATTAGTAATCTTTAAGAATTAGAATACAGCAGGATAGTGTCTTGAAAGGCATCACTGTCGTGCTCTAACTGGCTGAATTAGCATGGAAATATCGCCACTAACGTGAACAGTGTTTCAGAGTGTTGTTAACAATTTCAGATGGTTAGATTGTTGTAAGCAATGTCAGATATAACTAAAAGACTATAACTTTCATTTTCAGTCGACGACAGAGCGAGAAGTAATGAAAAGTAACAATATTAACTGGTCATTTTGATGAAATTGTCAAATTTGTCCTGCTTTATGTAAAAAAAATCCAATCAAAACGACAAAATAAAGGAAAATGAGACGACAACAACAAAAACAGTCAAAAAACGAATGAAATGAAAAAGGTTTAGCATATTTTTACGCAATTTGGAATATGCCTGCATTTGTCAATGTACTTAGTATGTTTTGTTTCCTAATTAAGATTTGAATATTTATTTGATAAAAATAGAATTCAGTTGAATTATTCGTTAGTTTGCTCATTTTGACCATTTATCGCAAAACTCAAGAAAAGCAATTATACAGCACGACTGCCATCCTGACGTATTGCTCTTATTTTTCATTGGTTGTCTCCCAAAAACTCAACTTTATTTAAGTGAATGACGGCTTCTACCCAACATACACAACAATATAAGTACAATGTGATAGGCATGTATTGAATAAATGTAGTGATTATAATAAAATTTTGAAGTCAAGAGTTCGTACTTTCCAACAAGTGAAACACAAACACAGATAATTTAATTATGGTTTCTTCACTTTGTGAGTTCACCATCGAATAAAAATCACCAATTGCTGTTACATTTGAATACCTTTTATTGAGATAACTAGGTAGACTATTTTAATGACGTAGAACATTGTAAAATGGCATGGAATTCACAATTAAAAGCAGATTGTTTTAAAACAAACTAAACATCGGAATATAGTCTTTCACAAGGTGGTACATTGTTTTGTCTTCACATTTCTATCGTTAATTTATGAGCAGCCATATATTTTCTCGTAATATCACAGTAAAGATAACGTTCAGGGTTTAATTGTCTCTTAATTTTTTTTATTATGGTAACAACGAGACGCAATGTTTATATCATCATGACAAAAGGCTAGAATAAATACAATGTATGTCTTTATTTCCAAAATCTTGTGCAATCCATACATATCCAAAACCATAAGCATAAAGTAGAGTGCATCGAAAACGATTACTTGAACAGATTTAATACAGCATCGTTAAAACACTGCTCAAGGAGATATCCCTCAAAATATAGCAACATCAAGAGGTTCGATATCCTCGGTAACCAATGCACATTCGTATATACTTCAGAATCTGGCCACGAGGTTATAAAACTTTTCAGTTCAGATTCAAATCTCCGTATCTTCATTTGTCAGTGTGCATTCTGAGCTGATTTCTGGCCGATCAAATAAGGGAGAGTTTCCGACTTCATTAGTGGAGAAAGCCTCAGGTGCCCCTCCGTGCATAATTGCAATTAGGAAAGAAAACCTTAGTAGAACTATCGGCGTTTTGTAAGCTAGTTGGAATTCAAAATCCCCGGCAAGTGGTTTGAAGTCAAACACCTTTACCAGTCGGCTACGTACGCCCCATTCTTAAGATGTGACTTTAGATAAAATTGCTCATAAAATCCTGCTAGATGAGATGTCGCCGTGGTCGAGGGTTTAGAGTCGATGACTTCTAGTCCAGTAACCTCTCTGGCGTGGGTTCGATCCCCGGGATATGCTTTGGTAGTTTAGCACATGAGGAAGGTAGTCTAGTACAGGTGTAACTCTCCAGGAATGATGGTTAGGAAACTACCCGCCTAAATGACTGAAATACTGTTGGGAAAAGGCGTAAAATGAAACAAACAAACAAAAACAAATGAGATGTCATGAACCCAGTAATTCCATTCTAGGTTTCCAATAAACATCGAAGTCTTTCCAATTTTTATTAAATTTTGGATTCAAGCGTTTGTCACTGGTGTTAGAGTACGGTACAAAACCTCGCCTTGTCAGCATGTCAACCATTTCTTGGATATTTGCTTCTGGACAGGCAATACCTGGCTTATTCTTCTCCCTTTGCATAATTCCCCATTCCATGCTAATGAGGAGAACGGTGAACTTGTCAAAAATAAAATATCTTCCGACCTTTCGAGTGCTCTACATTCATGACCTTCTGAAATTATACACAACTAAACAGTGGTGAAAGTAGTTACTCCATATTTCCTAAACATAATAAACTTTCTATTTCGTACTTCTAGTATAATGTGTAGTACAATATTATTAATAAATTTTGCTTTACACCTAAGAAAAAAAAACACGATAAATTGTGAACGTTCTATTATAAATCATTCAATACTGAAAATTACATATATTTGCGTATAAGTAGATATAAGCTGAAATACGCCAGTAACTGCAGCTGAAGACATTACACATGAGATACACCAGATTTAACCATACTTGCTAATACAAGTATTTGAGAGTTTTATTAATGAAGATATACTTAATCTTATTTATGCAGATATAATATCAATGTTTAGTTAAACTATAATACACAACTTATCTGTTCGGTAAATACCGGGAAAGAAAGGATGGCAAATAGCTCATAAATGACCGGAAATCAAGATGAAAACAAGCAGCCTATGGCCGAAAAAAATGCTCACCAATATCTAGTTTTATAACAACATACGGGGTATTTATCAATGCAGCTATATCATTTAGAAGTATCTTTTTAACTGTCATAGTTTCTTTGAAATAGACACGTTCACGTTCGGATATCAATCTAGCTCCACCCAGGTTTCCATGAACGCCTATATTAAGCTGAACTTCCCCTCTTTCATTTGAAACAGCATTTTGTATCAACTGTATTCGTTTTTGAAACTTGTTCAGCTGAATAGAAGTGGACAACGTTTGTACATGGCGATACCATGGCTCTATGGCCACAACAGGTTGCCCAGAAGAAGCGGCTAGTAAGCTGAAAAAACCAATGTTGGCACCAACGTCAATGAAGGTTATTGGTTGATTTTGTTTTTGGTTCAATACGCTTAGAATGCGTTGCGTTATTGCTTCTTCCCAGCGCCCAGACCGTTGTATAACCCCGGACACTACGTCTTCTGTGTCGGTATACGTACAAATGAAGAATCGTCCAGGTGTCTTGGTTTTGGCACATATATTTTGATCTATGTATTCTTGTTTTGAAATATTATATATATCTAAAACTTTTGAAATCGAAGGAGAGGCTATATTTTGAGTAAGATTTTTTCGTTTTTCTTGATTTTCGATTTTTACTAATGGATCCTTTTGTCTTCTCTTTACAGTATTAAGTAATGCCATTTTTCTTGAACTTGAACTGTTTAGTTGAAATTTGATATCTCCAAAATAATTGTTTTGAATTTCATCAATGCTTCGATTAGTTCGTTTAGAGTCATATTTCTTCACTTTATGGCTCATTGCATGTTCTTTACTGTAGATATTTTTCCATATAATGAAAGATAATATCACACCTGAAAAAGAAGAAGTTTGGTCCATCTTTCAATAACGGTATTAAAAGGTAATGTTTTACATAACGACCTTATAATAATTGTATTGAAGAATAATACTTTACACACAACTTCACATTAATATTGTATTAAAAGGCTAAATATTACAAATATCGGCCTGATATTAACCGTATCAATAGTTAATATTTCACTTATCGATTTCACAATACATTTGTAATCGTATTTAAACGAACATTATTCCCCAGAAACTTCCCAAAAGCTTCTCATTTTTAATATCATGTTATGCTTTCTTAAAAAGTTACTCATCGGCCAATTACCTGAACCATCTTCTGCTTCTATTGCTTTCTGGCAATTACTACTATTATGTACAGTGATTTAGTATTTTGTATGGAAGTCAAAATACTACTTTGTTTACATTTTGCTTCTTTTGTGACCAATAATTTCACTTTCAACGCTACCATTATCAAGTAATAAGCAGCTTATATGCTCTAAAACCATTATTTTAACTTAATTAAAATCATGGAACAATGTGTTTAATTCTGAGGCACAGTGTAATATTACACATACCGACCTTGCAATCATTGTAACACTTTGTAATACATGTGTAATTCTACCTTACCTGGCACAAAGCAAGATATTTCAAAGGAAGTTCTGGCATGATTCTGATTTATGGTGCAATATGCAATACGACCGAGGCTAGTGTTTTATAAAATTAATATCAGACAATTGGGCGTGCAGCTCTTAACACCTTAAAATCCAAATCAATTGTATATTTTCAATCCCGCCACATAAACTTATCAACTATATCGATAAAACCTAATATACGCTGTTTTGAAAAGTAAAATCATTGTTTTATATAGACCAACTGAATCTAAAATGATTAAATGCCAGAAACGTTTTAATGCAAAATCTTACATTTCTTACCTGTCACAATAAAACAATTTAGATAATGTCTTCTCCGATAAAATTGAAAAATGTTCTTGAAAGCCATTCCAAATTACTAGTATTTTAGTACACGTACACGTATAAAAACATAGATATACATGTATAAAAAAATACCTAAACACGGTATACTACTAAGAATGCAAAAAATAGAGATCAATGTCAATAGATAGTTCACAAAAGAACCAATATCTAATTAGGCCAAACCATTTTTTCTTTATATGTGCAGACAGTTTAAATTCTATTTATACACTAGGCCAAGGAAAGGTAAAAAAAAGGATTGAACAATTTTGACTCTCGATAAATATTACGAACAATAAATATTACGAATAAATATATATCGATATGTAAAGCAGTTTCTATATAAATCGATTTTTTTCCGGCTGGATATCGTAACATGATATTATTGTATTTAATTAATAACCAACGATTTCAAAACTTAGCTGAAAAAAGGCGGAGATATTGGGACTGGGCAGATGATGCACTTTTGTATATAAAAAACTTCAAGTTATTAAAAATGTTTATTTACTTCATTTTTATTTCTTTGCATACCTAAATGTTTGACCGAACTAAGATAATATATTGCGACTCTCACCGAATGAGTAACGAAACAAACATTTTTATGCAATGACCTTGTATGAAACGTACTTTTATTGGAAAAAATATATTGGGTAAAGAACAATTTTCTACTTAACCGTTCAAATTCAATGCAAGGCAGTGAGACGATCTTTAAATATAACCCTGGGTTATTTAAAGTGTGTAACCATTCGTACATTTCAGGTACATTTGTACTTAAATACATTTATGACATTACAACAATTTTATTTTTCATTTTGTTAAAAATATTTTAGCTCAAAGGTTTCATCAAATATAATTTGATGAAAATTAGTTTAGTATTTTCAAACGTAGACTATGTACACCTAGTTAAAAACATAAAAAGCAATAGATTTTCATCCAAAACAATCATCCGCATTAAATAAGCATATTTCCGAAAATGATATGTCCACATAAATAAAAATATTTGAATATTTTTAAAGTAATGAATAAGTCTCAAAATTACGCTAAGTTGAAATAGCCTGTTCTCCGTTATCAAAGAAGTAGACATACGGTGGTAAAAAGAAAATACTGTGTTATTTTGCGAAACACGAAACATTTTGCTATTATCTGGCAATGGGAAGATCTTTCGGGAGCACCGGAAGTAAAAGAAAAAAAGGTGAAGATTGCCGATTCGGGTTAATTGAGTTTGTTCATGAGAACTAGTGAAAGGTTCAACATCTTTAACGCAATTTGGCACTGGCTTAAGCTGTACTTATGTCCATCACTAGACCTTTTTATGAACCAATGGTCCATGAGGATCAGATAAAAACAATAATGATAAAAAAAAAACAAGATAGATTAAGTAACATTTTTTTTTAAATAAGTAAATCAATATTCCAACAATCGACATGACGAAACAGTTGAATTTGTTTTGAAAAATGACTTAGAGGAGTAAATATACAAAGTATCAGCAAACACGTGATAACAACAAAGTTGTTTTGTTGTTTTGAAAACATTGGATAACACAAGGCAGTTTTAACCAAAGTTTACTCTTTTATTCAAATACATTTCAGTTTTCCTTTACACTTTACCTGTATATTTAGAACTTTGGATTTGAATGTTTGAATATAAACCAATAATAGCAATGTCTTGTAAACACTTTAGGTATGAACATTTTGAGTATCAAAATAAAAGGAAATTTCTTTTAAACAAATAAAACGTCTATTGTCGAAAATTTTGTTGCTCTTTGTAAAAGTCTTTGACAGTATCTATTTTTCAGAGAAAAAGTATTGAACTGATGACACCGGCTGCCGCACCAATTGCCGTTCCAGCTGCTCCCAAACCAGCGGCTCCGATAGACTGACAAACTGCAAGTAAAGATCCAGATGCCACAGCCCCACCATAAGACGACATCCAAGCCGCAGCTGCGCTTCCTGCAGCAATACCAGCTGAAGTAAATCCCAAGGCGCCAAGAGCTGCAGGGACACCTAATGTGCTTACAACTCCACCGGCCACTGCAAGTCCTATAGTAAGCAAAACCTGCATGGATATAATAGTAAATTGTGAAAATCAAGGACTCATTTTGCATGCTCGTGCAGGATTCGTAAATATTTTCAAATAATATTCTTGCACACATAGGGAGCCAGTTAAGTGTTTTGATATTATATAATATGCTTATTTCAACATCTGAACACACTAGAAAAAGAATTTCTCACCATTATACACCATGTACATAATATAATACGTGATTTTCATTGTGTTCACACTTCAAAGCCGTCGTCTATTACAGTCCATTGGTGTGCAAAAGTTTGGGAAAATGTGAATCTTTTTTTCTCTTTTTAAGTGTTTTCATGATTTTGGTCTGCGGTAAAATGCTTGTGAATTTATAGATACATCCATCCTCAGATCATGCAGAAACAAAAATAGGATTTTTCCTCCGCAGAAAGGGCAAATGATTATAATAATGGGTTAAGAACATTTTAGATGCTTATCACCCTGAGATGTTAAATTTCCACAAATTACAATTATGAACACCGTTTTCTTCAAATAGAAATGCAAGTAAATGCACCAAATTAATCGTATGTAACAAATTGACTCATATGACTTGTAGATTTTTTTTCTGTATTATCATTAACTTGTTTCAAATCAACTGAAGGTGAAACTAACAATCTAATTTGTTATTTGAAAAGTAAAAAATAGACAGAATATTACTCACCATATTCGCAGATTTGGCTCGAAAATGTGGCTCTTTGGTTTAAAATTTATATTCTGAAATTTACAAAAATACCATGTATTATTGGCCTGCATTGGTGAGTCTTTGTTACAGTATTCTGGTGCAGTAAGGTTTCTGAAATCTAGAGTTGGAACTAAGGACAATATAATTATATACTTGTACTACATATACATATAATATTATGTCTTTTTTGTTGGATAAGCTGCACTGAATGTTTAAACCTTTAAGATAGATTGTTATATGTGTATTTTTATGTTTATTGAAGGCCTTGTTGAAAATAAATGTAAGAATTTGCATTATGATACATTGTAAACGAGGACAGGGAATCTCGGTTCGTATACCGATGCCGTATATTTTCGTGATACTAAACTGTTTAACGAACTCAACAAATGTTAGAATTATAAAGTCCTGGAAAATACCATTAATATGGTGCTAAACACTATCTGTTACTTTTCTAAATTGTATTAGATATTTTAGACATCACATTTACATACTTTACATATAAAATAAATAAGTGTGGGGGAAATAATAAAGAAGGTTGGGAAATTAAGGAAGAGTAATTACAAATTAACGGCTTACCGCTATGGTGGTCAAAACGCTTTTGGTCGCATATAACGTCAAACCTACACAGGTTTTTCACGTGTTCGTTAAAATTTTGTTTAAACATAGTTTATTCCTGTCATTGTGTATATAGAAAAAAGTATAATAATAAAACTTGCTAATAGCAATCAAGATACAGAATGAGATAAATTTATGTTGGCAAAAGTCCCAAATAAAGCCAAATAGCAAAATGTTAGCAGAGTAAAATAATGACCTAACTTTAAACAGGAAAAATGATCATATATCATTTCAAAATTGATTGTTTAGTTTTTTAGTATTACCAAAATGGAAATTAAGACATCAGCAATCAGCAATAAAAGTGATTGTTTAGTATTACTAAAATTGAAATTAAGACATAAGCAATAAAACTGATTGTTTAGTTTTAGTATTACTAGTTGATGCGTCGATGTATTCTTTATAGGCTATCTTCATTAAATAAAGAGTTGTTTATTATTATTATTATTATTATTATTATTATTATTATTATTATACCCTTCATGATGAAGGTAACCGTAGGTTGAGGTTTAAATTTTATCAATCACTTAATAGTTGAGCGACAAAAATTAACCAGGGGATAATAATTTAATCTTCTAGTTATCACTATCCAATGCTTGAGAATGACATAAAAATCTATGTATATATGTTTTACTATGTAAGAAAAAATGACAAATAATTTACCTTGCGTTTGCGTAAACCAACTCTAAAATAACACACCTGCTATGATTACATGTACCTGCTTTATACTCTCACTGCAAGGTAATTGGAATGAGCCCAAGATTACTAATTATGCATCTAAATTTAATCATATTTTTCGGAAAAACAAGGTTGCAGATAATGTATCAACTTCGACGCAGTGATCTATGGAATACCGTCACGCGACAATTAATGAAAATTTGGTAGGTAGTTGGAAGTTGGTTATTCATAATTCCAAACTATTTAACAATAATTCAATCGACTATCACCAGCGTGTAATGTTCGAACTTATCATACGTTTTTTCATGTTTTCTCCTCAAAACAGAAAGCACTTTTCCAACCAACAAAGTCTTGTCATATAAACATCAGATTATATTTATCTTAGTTCCATTTTTATCAATCTGGTCATATTTTTTCTTCCCAGGTCCAATACTCGTGCCTGTGTTCTGTATGTGAGTAGTGTTCTGTATGTATGTGACCAGTGTCCTTAATGTGAGTAGTGCTGTATGTCTGTGAGTAGTGTACTTTATGTGATTAGTGTACGGTATGTCTGTCAGTAGTGTACTTTGTGTGAATAGTGTTGTATATCTGTGGGTAGTGTTCTGTATGTCTGTGAGTAGTGTACTGTATGTTTGTGAGTAGTGTACTGTATGTCTGTGAGTAGTGTCCTGTATGTGAGTAGTGTCTTATTTGTCTGTGAGTAGTGTACTGTATGTCTGTGAATAGTGTCCTGTATGCTTGTGAGTAGTGTACTGTATGTGAGTAGTGTCCGGTATGTCTGTGTGTAGTGTCCGGTATGTCTGTGTGTAGTGTCCGGTATGTCTGTGAGTAGTGTACTGTTTGTAAGTAGTGTCCTATATGTCTGTGAGTAGTGTACTGTATATCTGTGAGTAGAGTTCTGTATGTCTGTGAGTAGTGTACTGTATGTGAGTTGTGTCCTGTATGTCTGTGAGTAGTGTCCTGTATGTGGGTAGTGCCCTATATGTCTGTGAGTAGTGTACTGTATGTGAGAAGTGTTCTGTATGTCTGTCAGTAGTGTACTGTATGTGAGTAGTGTACTGAAAGTCTGTGAGAAATGTCCTGTATGTCTGTGAGTAGTGTACTGTATGTCTGTAAGTAGTGTACTGTATGTTTGTGAGAAGTGTACTGTATGTCTGTGAGTAGTGTCCTGTATGTCTGTGAGTAGTGTACTGTATGTCTGTGAGTAGTGTCCTGTATGTCTGTGAGTAGTGTACTGTATGTCTGTGAGTAGTGTCCTATATGTCTGTGAGTAGTGTACTGTATGTCTGTGAGTAATGTCCTATATGTCTGTGAGTAGTGTACTGTATGTCTGTGAGTAGTGTCCTATATGTCTGTGAGTAGTGTACTGTATGTCTGTGAGTGGTGTCCTATATGTCTGTGAGTAGTGTACTGTATGTCTGTGAGTAGTGTACTGCATGTTTGTGAGTAGTGTACAAAATTTATAACAATTTCTAAGATATCTATGTTCTGGCATACAAAGAAGTTTACACCAATATTTGGTAACTTTTACATGATGGTCAATACATAAAAGCATCCTTCCACATTTTCCAAGCGCAACATTATCATTAACAGAATAATTTACACCTAGTTAATCTTTACAATATTGTATATGAACTTGCTCAAGAATTTCGGAGATTTCACTTCCATAAATTTCGGCACCATATATAAGTATAGGTTTTACCATAGATTGAAATAATTCAAAATAATCAGAGTGTAAGAACTTTTCAAAATTTCTTTGATATAATTTGATAGCATAAATAGATTTCCAAGCTTGTGCAGCAAGTGTAGTTTTTGCTTTTGTCAAAGATAATTAAGGTGTTAATTAAAGACCCATATATTTGTACGATGAGGTGATATTTACTGAACTGCCGTTGTAGAGCCATTTTTCATATGATCTGAGCGGTATTATTACAAAATTCTGAAATTGAATTTAACTGAGACTGGAGTTCGATCCCCGTATCGGCGCAATTTTCAACATCATCAGCGAAAAGATTCATATAACATCGGGGATTTGATATACCGCGATGTCCCTTAAATAGCATAAAGGGAGATAATTCATTTATATACAAGTTAAACATAATCGTACTCGTTACGTCCCCTTGCGTTGTACCCTATGTTACATTTAAAATATTCTGTATTTTTGGCAGTACTAACTTGTACACACCCACGGAGTTTTGAGTACATTGATTAAAGAAAACGGAATAAATTCCCTCTAACGCCTCATCTGTTTATAGTATTGAATAAGTTAAAATAGTTCCCAACAATTTAGGTAATTCAATCAACTATCACCTGCATGAAATGTCATACATTTTATACACAGAATAAAGGAGGAGACATAGTTGGTAATTCGCGCGAATCCCCAACTATATATCTACGAGAAGTGCGAATCTCGTAGATAGTTGGAGATTCACACAAATAACTAACTGAGTCCCCTGGTCGACGTAGGGAGACGGGGTGATACTATTTGGTAAAATTCATCTATCTGTTATTTTTTGGTGAAAAATTATTTTCTGTTTTTAGATAAATATATGTTAAATTCGAACTACCTTTTAATTTGGGATTCACGCTAATAACCAACTGAGTCCCCTGGTGGACATAAGGAGACAGTGTGTTTCCATGTTGTATACCACATCTATTTTTCATATTTCCGTTACATATTTCGGTGGTATTTAGAGCTTTTTAAGGGTAAACATGCAACGTTCGAATAACCAACTATGCCTTCTGGTAGAAATGTGGCGATTCATTCGAATAAGAACTAAATTTCTTGGTGGATTTATGGCGAATGGGGTGTTTCTATTTATAGAAAACAAATATCTCGTTATATAACCGTAACATGTGTTAAACGTAAACAAACAATATCCAAATTACCAACTACCTTCTGGAAGGTGTAGAAGGGGATTCACGCGGTATAGTGCGGGTGATTTTTACATGATTTGTGACTAACACAGTAAGGCCCTTTTTGCATATTTTGCCAATTTTTTTAGTAATTTACGTGGATTGAAAGTTTGTTCACTTGAAAATATTCTACCTTTAATTTACATTACATTTTCAAAATTTTCATGAAAATTACCATGAGTCTTGAGGTTTGCTGCTTTTACATATTTTTCCATCTAATTTCCACCAACAGAAAAATTTTAACTAGTGAAACTAGATTGAGACTTTTCTCAAACCATCATTTAGCATAAACAACAAGTATTGGTTTCAACAGCTGCTTAATTATCTATTGTCAATATTAGGAATGCGGTTATATTTAACGAAACATGGCTTTTTCTGGTATGATTTTTGATACTTGTCTTACTTATTTTCATTTTACTACTCGTTTGTGTAAAGTCTTTATCATAACCCCTCGAGCAAGGACACGAATGTCAGCCATTGTAAAACACTTTAGACATCTATATTTAATAACTATGTAGGTGTGAAAATTCAATTGTATGTATAAAGGGACTTCCAAAAGAGTAATAAATCAGAGCGGGCGCTGTGGTGCAGTGGTAACACTGTGTGACTACAAGTCTAGGGGTTGCGAGTTCGATCCCCCGCTTCTCCACTAAAATTACTAACAATCTTAAAAATGCTATAAGTCTTTCGTATGAAAAAATAATAAAAAACAACATTAAGTAATAAAACATTCAACTGACACACATAACACTACTTACACACTGAAATACAGGACACTACTGACACACTGACAAACATGACACTACTCACACACTGACATACATGACACTACTCACACACATGACACTAC